CCCCCCCTTTTTTTTTCTTGGTATCTCTCTTCCAGATAGCTGGGTCTAATTCTAGGGTTTTACCAGGCTCTTTGGTGTCTGTTATATTGTAGACTGATGCTTCTGCACCTGCTTAGGTGACCAGCACTTCTGTCAAAGTGGGGAAATGGTAGTTACTGGGGAAGGAAGGTAGCAGAATGTTGCAACCTGCGAACTCCAATGGTTCATGTTACCTGCAGTGCAGCAGATACCTGAATGGTGTAGCACGAATTTGCAGTAAGCCCATCCCCTAGACCAACTCCTCAGCCAAGATGTCTTAAATAATTTTATGCCATCTTACTCCTCTGAGCTGTGGCTGAGCAATAATGGAGTAGCAGTATTTTTTGGTTTGTAACCATTTTCCTAATACATCAATATACTAGTGGAAAAAGATGTATCCATTCAGTGGCATTTTCTGAAATTAAAGCAATGAAGAAAAACTGTACTATCATAAAACATCTCTAAAAGAGACTAGTAGGTAAAAGAAAAAGCAGGTCACAGAACAGTATGTATAGCATAGTTGCAATCTTAGTGATAGTACATGTACATGTGTGCAAAGATGTTTAAAGAATGGACTGACAGAGTATCTATACCAAAATATTTGTATACTGAATACTAAATAAGGCAGAAAATTGGATGAACATAACACCTCTAACTTTTTTTCAAAACTAAATTCCAAAACTAGATTTATATTCACTTATATGCCCCTCTATTAATTTCTTTATATGAGTGGCAAAGTTACCTTTGATCTCAGTTTCTATTATATGAATAACCTCACACATTTAGATTTGCATGTTTTTCTCATTGTAGGATCTTGTGCATGAATGGGACACCAACTTGGCCCTCTTCTCCTACACTCTTGAGTCATGCATGAGATGTCAAAGAAATTGGCTTTATCTTGAACCAATCTTTAATTCATTAGAAATTCAAAGGTAAACCATTTAAGCTACTCCACATATAGATGAGAAAATTCATAGTGGGTAGTTTACTTTCTGTTATTCTTGAGAAACCCTTTCTCTAATGGCTATTCAACAACAGTCCTACTCTAGGCTTAGGAGTATGACCTGGGAGTCAGTGGTGCTGAAGCTTTGGTGCTGGGTGACTGGAGCATGCACACTTCTCAAGGTGTGGAGCTATACTCCTATATAGTTTTGGAAATGAGAAGTAAATAAAATTGTATTAGGTGTAGGACAATAATAATTAAAAAGTAACCTTTTTTCCTCTCTATAATTTCTTCTGTACCTGAACCTCCAAGGTTTGAATCAGGTTGGGAGCTAGTATGGGATGGAAGTGGGAATACAGGTGAGCAGAGAAAGGGAAAGAATTATACCACTGGGCATACTTCCTTCATTTAAGTATGACGGTAGTATGACGGTATCAAGTTACTCTATCAGTGAATTACCATGCCACACGTGGGTTTGACTTCTTTTTACCCAGGGGAGAAAATCATGATCATATTCTGTAAAGTGAAGTTTCCTTACCTTCACTGAACCTACTTTATTTTACCCTCTAAGATTAGGTAATCACTAGTAGAAATTGGATTTTCTTATGAAATCAAATCTGTAAGCTCTTCTCCTAAGCCAAAAGTCTTCTTTATAATTCTCTTTAGGTGAAATCACTGTTTCTTCTTTAAAGCCTGGATCAAATACTTTCTGTAAGACCCTCTCTCCAGATCCCATTTCCTCCTAGAATCTTAGTAGCCCTTTGTTTTGTTACATTTCCTAGTGCATAAATCACTTCTACATTATTTAATTATAACACACACACACATACTGCACTACAGCAATGTACCAAATTTCAAGTGCCTAGGTTTCCTTATTGTGAAATCGGGAATAATGATAGTGCCTAACCTGAGCTTTGTGCCAAATAAGAGAGTACATTTAAAGCACAGAGTTGGCACAGAGAAAGTACTTAATGCGTGTCAAATACTTTTTTTTTAAAGATTTATTTATTTATTCATACAGAACTGGGGTACAGGCCAGAGATGTGGAGGGTGAGAAGATTCACCAGAGACAGAACGGGGAGCAGAACAGGCAGATCAAAGAAGTACACTGCTGAGGGGCGCAGCGGGTGGGTCAGGAGAGGTCTGCTCACCATGTGGTCACCTCTGGGGCAGGCGGGGATCGAACTCATGTGGAAGTGGCTTTAGCTTCTTAGTGCTCTGTTTTAACCTGCTGAGCCACCAGGGAGGGCCCAACAAATACTTTTATGAGCACTATTATTACTTAATAAAATCAGTAAAAGTTGAAATAGAATATTTCAATCATTTTATAATTAAATTATTGGTTCCAAATATAATATATATACATTTAATTTTATAATAGTTTATAGTTTATTTTTACATATTTTTGTGCATTTTTCCATCTCAGTTGCAATCCCCTTTTCCATCACCAAATCACCCATGTGCCATCACCATAGAACATATATATATATATAGAGAGAGAGAGAGAGAGCATATATATCTTACACCTACACAAACTGTTGAATGTATAGCAAATTGGTTGTAGCATTTCCTATCATATCTATTACTTGTTCATAATAAACATTCAAAAGAGATCTCCAATGATTGATCATTTCATAATGTTTTGTAAATTGAACAATTTTCTGTGGCTAATACATTGATATTATAGATTTGGACTATAGTGCTTGCAAAATTACCTTTGATTTTCTTTCTAAAGGCAACTCCCATCAGAAACAGCTCTCTTCTCCAAAGTGATTTTCATGTGGCAGGAAATAATGCTAAGAATGCAAAACAAACTAAATGCTTTGAAAATAGCCACATCTACAAGAGTTCTTGAAACTCTGAAAAGTTGCAATAACAATCTTGAATATATAAAGAAACGTCTTGAGGTAAAACTGTAACAATCCTAAAGTGGAGAAAATTTAATTCTATAAAAATGTTATGTACCACACTGAAGAAACTAACTTGAGGACGATTGTCTTTATTAGCTGCTAACAATATTTCAAATTCTTACCATCTACAAAGTACTATCAAAAGGGAAAAGCAAATGGGTGGACCAATGTAACTGCACTACAGCAATGCACCAAATTTCAAGCACCGAGGTTTCCTTATCATGAAATCGGGAATAATGATAGTGCCTAGCCTGAGCTTCGTGCCAAACGAGACAAAGCATTTCAAGCACAGAGTTGGCACAAAGAAAGTAGTTAATGAGTGTTAAACCCTTTTATGAGCACCATAATTAACCTATTGTAAAGGAGAAATTGCAGATATAGGAGAGTAAGTAAAAAAAAAAAAAAACAAAACAAAGTAGAGGTTTAATTTAAAAGCAAAATAAAACTTAGCCTGCCGTAATGAACTGGGATCTATCCCCTGAATAGAAGGGAAAGAATTAAGACTAGTGGATGAAGCTAAATTGGAGGAGGAGAGGAAATGTGGGAATTGTCTGGCCAATAGAATGTGTGATGACCTGCTGAAGTGGGCACGCCACGGAAATGAAAGCAGAAGCTGGCAGCATGGAAAATCAACGCTGCTGACACCCAAACACTGTGTTTTATTAATACACAGCAGTAGAGCAATGTGTGTGTGTGCATAAGTGGGATTTTATTGTTTTTATTTATTCATTTATTTTTAGCAATTCAAGCATAGCTTTCATTGAGGGTGGATTTATTTTAACTGCTAACACTGTATACTCATATTGTACACTGTATACCTTGGCTTCTGTGTGTAATGGAAGCCCACATAAGGATTAAGTAATATCATAATTAAACTGAATGGCATTTCTTTTGGTTCTGAACAGGACTACCTTGAAATTAAAAGAATGGTTTTTCCACGATTTTACTTTCTTAGTAATGCTGAACTTCTCGATATTCTAGCTAATAGCAGAAATCCTGAATCTGTACAGGTAATATCACTAGTTTTTGCTCAGCAGTATTATTTCCCAATGAGGCAAGAACTTTATGATGTTCACTTTCATTTCTGGTCCTCAGCCTCATCTTATGAAATGTTTTGAAAATATAAGCCAATTATTGATATGGAAACAAGAAATTGGCCCACCCGTTGTCGTCATGTTCATCTCTGCTGAAGGAGAAGCCCTTGTGCTGCCAAAGTATGATATGTGTGTGATCGATGAAGTGTGAACATGTGTGATCGATGCAGTATTTATGACTGCATAAAACGTGATTATTTAAAAGTTGTGCTTGGAAGTATCTGACATCTCATAGAAGTTTGCAAAGCAAATGTTTTCTTCAAGATAATGTATTTATGCAGAATTTCTACCATCCCATTTTTAAAATTTATGTGTATATTTATTTAATCTTTAAATTTATGTGTGTATTTATTTAATCTGAATGTTAACAAGGTTTTATTATACAAGCATAGACAAGAAGAAAATTTGCTATTTTCTTGGGGTCATTGTTACTATTCCCACCGCTGCTTACACTGACCTCTGGTTTTATTAAAACTGGTTCCCAGGCAATTATTTTAAACAAGGCCCTTTTAGTGCAAGGACTTGTCTGTCCTTAACACATGCATGGCTTCTGACTTCTGATGCTAATGATTTAAGCAACTTTGGCGCTAGAACCGAAGCTGACACTGATGTGTAATTGCCGTTTGAAAGGTCCATTGTGGTATGAAAAAATACTTAGTAATATCATTTATCTACTTTGTAGTTTGACATTTTACTGAAACCTCTTAATTTTGTAAATTCATGGTGCTCGTGTCAGAATCTCCTAAAGCTAGGTGATTTTTTTTTTGCATATTTTCCCCATCTTAAGATCTAGAAACACCAAGGATATAAAATCATTGTGCTTTGGCCCATGCAAATAATGAGTCTGTGAGCTTAGCGAGGGGAAGAAACACAAATAAAAATATAATTCCTCATTATGTTATTTTTGAAAAAAATTATAGGAAAATTCGTATAAGGAGTGCTGTGGAACAGTGGCTGGTAAACGTAGAGAAAAGCATGTTTGATGTTCTAAAAAAGTGAGTAAAAAAGTTAGCTACTGTATGCTATGTGAGAGATAGAGAATTCAACAAAAACTTTATGAATAAAAGCAGTAAAGGCATTTCATGGGACAGCAAACAAAAAGAAAACAAAGGCATTAAATGAAAGCACTTTAATAGATGAAATTTATTATATTTCTACACTATTGCTCTGAACTCTATAAAGCTATTATCAATATATTTCTTCTCAATAGCAATGACAGAAAAGAAAATGATACTACTAATAATAGATACTGCTTGTTATTGTGGCAAAAGTAAGAAGAATCAATGTTCCATATTCCTTTTAAATATTCAAACTGTAAAAGATTCATTTTAAGTATTCAAGTGACAAGTTTGAATCCTGGTTTGCATCTCAGTGTGCCTTCACTGCTATGATTCAGCTTAGTACATGTAATCATACCATGATTTACTGGGGAAGCCCATTTTACAATTAATTAAATATGTGATGTAACTGGCAGTAATGGCGTGAGCAGGGAGGGTTGTGAACCACTAAGGTGCGATTCAAGAGAGCAGCATGCAGGCAGGTATTTGTTACAGTGTTTGTGTTTAGAGCTTCTGGCCCTTCATGAGCAGGGGCTGTTCCTTTGGGCAAATCCACTGGTGGCTTTTGCCAAACCTTGAGAAGGCATTACACACTCTCAGAGGCATTGAGTCCAGGCATCTCCAATTTGCTTAACTCCTGTATTTACATTGCTTTCAGAGGTATATAATTTACTACTTAATTTGGGGCATGCTCTCAGCATCCTTAGGCTCTATCTTTCCCTCATTTTCTGTTTGTCAATTTCCTCTGAGAAAGCAGTCATTTTCATTTTAAATTACAGAGTCTCTCCATTTCAGTTATACCCATTTCTTGATCATTCAGGATCATTGTGATATCAATACATATATCACAGATCAATTCTAAATTAACACTGGTCAGTTTATAAAGAAGTAGTTGAACTGTTAAAAGAAAATCTGGCATTAAGAATTTCTAAAACAGGTTATCAGTAATAAAATGTAAAGTCAAATATTGATCATTGTCACTATATAGACACCTAAAATGTCCATAGGGAAAACAAACATAGCATATCAAACAACATTCTCTTGGTCCAAATTAACTTTAGTCTTTAAAAAAAAAAGGCTACTTTTAATCAATCTTACTTTCTCCATTCTATTTAATTTTTAAAGATAAATGCTAAAATTTGCTGTTAAATTCTGATTCTAACATGTAAACTTATAGTAGAGATTATTTCAAATACTGATTTGTCATTGCAAGAATTAGCAATTCAAAGTTAGTATGTGTGCTCTTGTAATTTAAATATAGCTTTTCTATCCCAGAAACTCCATGATCTGATAGGAAAAGTGCACATGAAAAAGAAGAGTTTAAAGAATATGTATTATGCATGAATTAAGGCTCTAAGAACTTGCTTTGATTCTATCTAAATATCTAAGTAACCACAAAATAATCAGAGATCTAAAAGGACAATTCTATGATCTATGCTCAGTGATTCAATAACCATAGCCAATGGTTAGATATAAATAAATATTTTTATTTATAGATTTGTAAATCAAGGTATTGAAGACTGGAACAACCAAAATTTTTCTTTATTTGTGACATCACATATAGGACAAGTGGTGCTTATTGTGGTAAGTTACTGCTTTGACTTCAAGTATTTTATTTGTGGTTACCCTGACAAGAAAGCAGTACTTAGGAATAAATGACTTTGAGTTACTGCTATGTGTAACTTACTTTGAAATGCATAAAAAAATGGATGGAAAGATAAATGATATAGCAAATATAACAAAAGGTTAATTGTCAAATATAGGTTGTGGGTATATGGGTATTCATTTCATAATTCCTTCAGCTTTACATAGTTTATCTGCTTTTCATAACAAACTTGTTGAATGAAAATAATATTTTCCTAGAGATGTAACTATATTGCTTTACATTCACTTTCTATTGCTGTTCTTAATAAAATTATTGCAAACCTAGTTGCTTAAACAACACAGTTCTTACCTTAGAGTGCTGTAGGTTAGAAGTTCAATACCAGTCTCACTGGGCTAAAATCAACATGTTAACAGGATTTCATTCCTTTCTGGAGACTTCTAGCGGCCATTGATGTTAATTGACTTGTGGCCTTCTCCTATTCAATGCTAACAATGTTGCATCTCTCTGACTATCCTTCTGTAGTCATATACCCCTTTGCTCAAGACAGAAAAAGTTTTCCAACTTTAAGAATACATGTGATTACATGGGATCCACTCAGAATATTCTCTCCATCTCAAGGTCTTCATACATATGCACACAATCTCTTTTGCACTGTAGGGCAACATCCTCACTGTTCTTGAGGATTAGCACAAGAAATCTTTATAGGGAAGTTGTTATTTTTCATACCACATGTATATTTGCTAAAATGAGTTAAAATTGTTTGGAACTCAGAAGAGAAGAAAATTGAAGTGTGTGTGATATTAAGGAAGTCAAAACAGGCCATTCTTTTGAGAACTAGGAAGGTAGTGATTGAAGTAGCACTTGAAACCAGAAAGTAGTAACGTTTCCCCAGTAGAAAGTATGGACAAGAGGCCAAGTGAAGACTCCAAGAACATCAACATCAATAAGGGGCAGGCAAAGGGAGGGAAAGCTATAAAGAGGACTGAAAAAATATGGCCAGGAAAATAAAAAAACAGAAAACAAAATTGTAAATTGTCATGGAAAGGGAGGAGAGCTAGTTTGCATTTTTCTCTAGAAAAAGCAAGTGGACATCAATTTTAGTTTGTCTAAAGATATCTGAATGCTCCACTATTTCTGTTACTTAGGAAGAAAAGAAGGACACACCTCAGAGACTGGTGTGATAAAGAGCGCTGCTGCCATCTTACAATTATCAAGTATTTATAAAGAATACTGGACTCTGTGTTTCTCTGTTAAATTTCAAAATAACATCACATCTCTTTACTTTGCCGTGATCTACCACAATTTTCTGGATACAAACTATGATTAGCAAATCTTATTGATCCCTTTGTTGTCCACATGACAATAAATATTGATGATATACTCTCAGATCTTAAGCTAAAGTCGTCTTTAAGCTTTTGTTTACAAAGGAAACAATTATAATAAATAAATATGCACATTTTTATGGCTTTCTAGCTATTCAAATAATCAAATCTACTCTCCTAAGAAAAGAGCTTTCACAGTTCTCAAATCATGCTTAAATATTAGAAGCAATTCATATTTTGTTTCCAGAAATACTTTCTTTTAATTTATTGAGGTAGCACTAGTTTATAGCAGTGTACGTGTCATAGAGGAACAGAGGAATTACAGAACATATTCCAGGCATAATGCTCTGGGCTCAACTGAGGAGACAGTACTAATTTCACTCTCACATCTTTCTAGCATTTTTACTGTCATGAGGTTATGATTTAGGTCAGTGATGCTTGCTTAAGAAGACAAGATTTACAAAATATAAACATTGGCAATAAGTATATTCTCACTAACTAATGATGAAATCTCCCAAAGCATTAATGAAAATTCAGTCTCTAACGAAACACATACAATGTGTAATTTTTCTCTTTTACAGACACACACACATACACACATATTCATGCATACCTGCACACATACAATCTATGCTTCATGATAACATGTTTTAATGTATAAATATTGTTTCACCTATATTTATATCTGAATTTTTCAGAGCCAGATCATGTTCTTCAACGATTGTGTCAAAAGCTTTTTCAATTCTCATTCAAGAGAAGACTTGGAAAATGTCCATGCTGGTCTGATCTGCCGTATAGAAGAGATAGCAGCACTGGTGCTCCTGGATTCTAGTAACTCCCGGGCAAAAGCTGTAGTTGGAGCACTGCTCACTCTTTATGTTTACTGCAGGGATATAGTTAAAAATCTACTACTTAAAAATATCTTCAATGTGGAGGATTTTGAGTGGACAAGGTAGGTAGGTCTAAATTGTAACTACATAAAATAACTTCTACACTCCCATTTCTAGGAAAAGTCTCCTTAATTTTTGTCAATTACAAATTTTCTGTGATTTAGAGAAGTGTGGTGCAGTAATATACATCTGTAGAAGTGTGAACCTGTAATTCTAAATCATACAGAGTGATGTAAAACAATGCTACTCCAACAGCACCTACCCACCTAACTTAGCAAGAACACCTGCAGTTAAAGCAACTGCCCCTGAAGTTTTTAAATCACAGGATATTTAAGTTTTTATTTGTTTGTTTATTAAAAGTACTGGTGGATTAATCTCTATAAAATAAAACACCAATGAATATTTTACTCTATCAGATGGCAATTCTATCACTCCTTTCCTTTGATTGTAGTGTTTTGCTTTCTATTTCTTTAATCAAATAGCAATCATCTATTTGTCTTTTTAATACATACATTTCAACTTTTATTATGTTTCTACTTGTGAGAAAAAGGAAAAAAATTGGCCCATATAATAGGAACATTTAAAAATATTATTTTCAGACATTTGCAATATAAATGGGATGAAAAACAGAAGTTGTGCTACATAACTCAAGGAGGTGCCATGCTTACTTATGGCTATGAGTACTTGGGTTGTACCTCAAGATTGGTCATTACGCCTCTCACTGACAGATGCTGGCTGACTCTCACAGGAGCACTGTACTTGAATCTAGGAGGCTACCTCATTGGGCCATCTGGTACAGGAAAAACAGAGAGTGTTAGAGACCTAGCAAAAGTAAGTAGTTTCTATATCCAACATAGAAAGCCTCTTTCTTTAATGTTAAGATATTCCTAACACTTAACAAACACACTAACATATTGATTTATACGATTAATTAATTTTTGGATGTCTGTTGTGTACCGGGACATGCAGCTCAGTAAGCCAACATGTACTTTGTATTTTCTTGGAACACCACTGTACGTACTAACTGACATGTGAATGGCAGCTTTGTTCCTCTTCCCTACTCTTCTTGAAGGGGTAATTCATTTAGTTGGCGGCCCATACACAGACTGTTGACTAGTCTTTGTGAATAATAGCATGTGCAGGCCTGTGCAAATTTGTGTGTGTGTGTGTCTACTTGTGGGGAAATGAGAGAGAGAGAGAGAGACCTGAATTATATAAGTATATATGCATTTATACTATGCTGATTTGTGAATTTCTAAATTGGGTATATAATTCATCTCTAAATTGCAAATTTTCTTTTCAAAAGAGTATAAAGACATTTACTGCTCTGGAAGTTTTAACATTAGTATTTTGTGTCATAATTCATGACGTATTAAAATTTTTTTGTTTCCCAGTGTCTAGGCAAGTACTGTGTGATCTTCAATTGTTTTGAGAATTTGGATTATAAGGTAAAATTTAATTACATACACTTCGGAAAAAAATACTGTGCACATAGAAGATACAATTCATTGAGGATTGAGATAAAATGTATCTTGAACAGACATTTAATATTAATAGAAATATAATGCTATTCTTTTAAACTCAGATTTCAATTGTAAATAGAAACTTTTAAAGCATTATACATTATGATTTTAGTCAAACTACTTCTTAAGACAGTGGTTATCAAATTTTTATCCAAACAAAACCTGACATGGAACAAGAATATATAACACACATGTATATATATATATGAATATATATAAACAAACTGAAGAATACTGCTCTATGTATATAATATACATTTATTTTATAACTTCTAGCCCTATACTTTTATTTACTGAAAGTGTAATTATTAAGAACAATGAGACTATTATGACTAGCAGGGAATTTGATTTAGATTTTATATAGATGATTACAGTTTTATATCAGCCTTTTTTGTTTTGGTTGCATACTATCTAAGGCATATTGTTACCTGGCAAAGGGACTAAAAACTGTCATTGCATCAGAACCTCTTATCAGTTCTTGGTCCAGTCAGCCACCACCACAGATGCAACCAAAAGAGCTGTTAGTGCTGAAAAATAAAGCTGATTTATTCTCCAGCAGGGTACAGGGAGAGGGAGACCCAGAAGAACCCGAGGGTAGTGAGAGAGGGAGATGGCCCACTGACTCTGATGGAGGGAAGTGGAGCTGCTGTTCAGCACCTGGCCTCAACAGGATGGCGGCAGGTCCTGCTACCCATGCAGCAGGCTGGATGCTGCTGTTGCAGCAGCTGCACAGAGAAGGAGTGAGCTCACGTGTGTCACTTCCTTTTAAAAGCTGCCCACATGCCCTTCCAGCCGCATCCTTCCCAGGAGCCCCCTCCTTCATTAACACGGTCGTGGAGAGAGTTCTGAGCACTACCTGCCGCAGGCGTTGTCTCCAGTCTGGACAGTGACTAGATCTGGGCAGATTCCTATCCCTTGTCCTGGTGAGTGCAGTTTGTGCCCAGCGGAGGAGACCACACGCAAGTCACTGGCAGGACTCAGTGCCCTAGGGCATCTTGAGCAATTTCTTACCACATTCAGAAACAGTTATTAAAATTCACTGCCCCTCTGTAACTGTCACAGGGTTCAGCTTCAAAACATTCCAATATATTTTGTTCATGCTAAATATAAACCTTTCACATTTTTTGGCTATCATTTTACTTGCAGCCTAAAGCATATTACCTCTAAGATTCTGTATTTCCCAAGATTTTGTGTTTCCATTTCTGCTCATATTTAAAAAAATCAATATTCTGTTCTTAGGAGACTTTACAGTTTCTTGTCTCCTCCCTGGAAACTACCTTCCAGGGGGGCCCAGCAAGGCTAAGATTGGCATTAGGTGAGTGAAACCTAGTAAGATGAATAATAAGATGCCTCATTAAGATGAAAACCTAGTAAGATGAAAAATATTTTAAAACATCAAAATGAATGCCAAACCCTATGATAGACAAAATGCCAACATTTTAAAATAACTGATTCCTTCAACCAACTCCTTACCCTGGGCCTGAAGACCGTCTCTGGTCCCCTCTGCCTTGCGCCCACAGATGCTCAGCTGGATGGGTCAGTGTTTTTGTTTTGTCTTAATACAAATCAGTTCATTTCAATCCAGACGTTAAGTCTGTCACAGAAACCATCTTTTGCCCTTTGTTGGTCCTTGTTCAGTGAGCAGTATAGATTACCTGCAGCCCACTACTATCCCATAAGGGGTCTTGGCCTGACCAGGAAAAAAAGAGGATGGAGGGCTCTCCCTGGTGGCGCAACAAGTCAATGCACCACATTATGAAGCTCTCCAAAGCCCCGGCAGGACCAGTTTGATCCCCGGCCAGGGAGATGACCCACACAACGTGGCAGACAACTACTGACCCACCTGCTGCTCTCCTCAGCTGTGTGCTTTGTCAGTTGGCCTGTTCTGCTCCCTGTTCTGTCTCTGGTGAATACTTTCACCCACCACACCTCTGGCCTGTACCTCAGTTCTGTAAGCAAAAATAAATAAATAAAGAAAGAAAGAAAGAAAGAGGGTGGAGGCGATGCTGTGGAATGGAGGCCTCAGCCTGACTGTTGAGGATGTTGAGAGAGCCAGGCAGAGAGGCTGACTCTCCAGTCTAACCAGCAGCTGCCACAGCCTACAGAGTGCAGGTGCCGAGGACGGGCGAAAGAGTTTGCTCGGTCTGGAGGAAGTGGGAAGAACAGTCACAAGTTAACATCTTAGTACTAAGATTTTCACCTATTTAAAAATCACAGGCTTTTTTTTTTTTTTTAAAGATAATAGTACAATTCTTCTTCGGGCTGGTTCTGTCAGGAGCGTGGTGTTGTCTGGATGAATTCAGTCGAGTTGACATGGAAGTCCTCTCCGTGATGGCCTCACAGATTCTCACCATTAAAGCCGCAAAAGACAGTTACTCTGTCAGGTATTGAATGGCTATGTTTATACTTTTGTAATGGAAATTTGACTTATGTTTACTGTTAATTATTATTAAATATTTTTGCTGTAATAAGTGTTTTGTTTCTTTTCTTCTAAGCACAGAGTAGGAAGAAAGGACTTCTCTTATATCGCTCCTTTGCTTGGCAAATGACCTGAAAAATATGTATAACCAACTTTCAGTGCCAACTTAGAGGTGGCCACACTTACCCAAGCTGCACTGCTTCCTGACATAGTAGATATTTTAACTAATTATTTTAAAGTTAAACTTTCTTAGTGCCTTTTTTCTTATATTTCATTTGAAGAAACCAAAAGTTCTTTTTAATTAATTTTATGTCTTAAAAAAATGATACTGGGGCCCTCCCTGGTGGCGCAGCGGGTTAAAGCACAGCACTGAGAATCTAAAGCCGCTTCCACATGAGTTCGATTCCCGCCTGCCCCGGAGGTGACCACATGGCGTGGCAGACCTCTCCTGACCCGCCCACTGCTCCCCTCAGCAGTGTACTTCGTCGATCTGCCTGTTCTGCTCCCCACTCTGTCTCTGGTGAAGCCTCTCGCCGCCCCTGAGCCTCTGGCCTGTACCCCAGTTCTGTATATACAAATAAATAAATCTTTAAAAAAAAATGATACTGGTCACACACCCATTACTCTAAATTAATGACTTTTATTGAAAAGTCTTGTAACAATATTTGTATATTCGGGTGACTAATGTTTACTAATCCAAGGAAGACCATTTTTCTCCTCAGATAAGTTCAGAAACTCACATGATTTACTTTATGGGCATAATTTGATTTCTGGATTTAAACATTCTGTTATAGTCTATAAGAGTAAAACATTCTGTCTTTACTCAAGGATTTCGTTTAAAGTGCTGAAGATTTATATGTGGAAATAAGTGGGGGGATCATAGTCACCTACCTGTTACCAGTTCTTTATTGCCTCTCAGCCTCTGCAAAGATTTCTCAGTTATGTTCAGGAATCCTTGGTTTTGTTCCAGTTCTCCCTTTTCTGTTTTCACCACTGTATAGGAAATCGCCACAGAAATAGTTTCCATTCTCTCTAGTACTGAAGCAGACAACTTGACACTGATGTCCAGGCCCAGGGTACTTCTCTTTCACGTGTTCTCAAATTTTTTAATTAGGTGCTAGTGAGTGGGCTTTGTTCGTGTGAGCAGCCACGTGTATGCTCTAGCCATTCTGTGTTCTCCTGTGTCATCCCGCAGAGCTCTGTGCTCTAAGTGTTTCCTTAGCTTCCTTTTCCTGTGTAAGTTCATTTGTTCAAGAGGGTCCCCTCCAACCCATGTCCCACAAAACTCTTCAGACATCTAAAAAAAATAAATCTGAATTCCAACAAGCTTTACAGTTTTGGTTCAAGGTGAGCCTCTTCTTTCTCCCTTACCATTATTTTTTCCTACATGCTTTGCTTGGATTTAAATGTAACCCAGCCTTAGAAAAACGCCTATCCTTGTAATTTTAACATACTTTGGTCTAGAGAAAACAGTTTCCTTAATGATGAATACTTCAATGTCTTGTAGGTTTGTCATGGAAGGAAAAGAAGTTTCTATCAATATGTCTTGTGCATTATTTATCACTGTGAATCCTGGGTAAGTCCATTAATGTGTGGGAGGAGTGAACACAGGGAAAAATCCATTTTCTTAAAATCTTATCCAGTTGAAGTTGGTCTGACATTATATATTTATCCATGACCCTCCACTACATGTACCATGTAGAAACTACGACAACTCTGCCTTCATCCATATGGATTATCTCACGTTCAACTTTTGACCAAGAGACATTTTCATTTTGTGAACAGCCAGAGAGAAATGAAATGGTTAGCAGTTAGTAAAAGAGGGTGCAGGCAGAAAAAGTGATGAGAATGGTAAGAGAAATAACAATATGTTGGGTCTGGTGAGTGCAGACTGGGCAGACGCAACAATGTCGGATGGTTGCAGGGGGATGGTCCTGGGGATGGAGGAATTGATGTAACCTGAACTGTGGGAGGAGGCACAGGAAGAAAAGATTATAAGCAAAGAAGCTCTGTGTGATGAAAAGTGCAAAAGAAGCCCTCTTGTAGATTTGTTTTTAGTTGAAGGAGACATAGAAAGTCAGAAGAATTATTGGGCTTATATTTATTTGGTGGTTATATTTGGTGGTTCCTTATTTGAAAGACTGAAAAGTGGTGTTTCCTGTCTCTTTGTTTTTCTTGTCCTCTTAAGATACAAAGGTGGAGTAGAACTCCCAGCTAATTTAAAATCTCTATTTCGTCCAGTGGCAATGATGGCTCCCCATTATGAAGTGATTGTTGAAATATTACTGTTGTCATTTGGTTTTAAGTCAGCAAGCTCACTCTCTGGAAAGCTAGTTAACCTTTTTGAATTAGCTGACAAACAGCTCTCACAAGAGGTAATGAACTGCTTTTCTCAAAGATGATTATGTGAAACGTTGTAAGTAAGACTTGCCTAATATTTTGGAAATGAGCTGGGTTAAAAAATGGAGCTAGAATTCCTGTCAGCCTATCACATCTATTTACTAACTTGTATAAACAAGAATATGTAAAAGCAGTCAAGGTTCTCTACAAATTGGAGAGAGGAATCAAGGATCTGTTAAACTTTTTCCCTACAAGGAAGTTAACATATTTAGAGCAGTGGTTCTCATGTTTTACTGTGCATCAAAGAAATGTGGAGGTCTTAAGATAAATTGTTGCCCACATGGCCAAATTTTTAATTGTCTGTGATGGAACTTGAGAATTTGCATTTCTAACAGATTCTCAAGTGTTCCAGATGCCACTGATCTGAGTATTATACTTGGAACATTTTTATTCTAGGGTTTGCCAACTTAACAACTATTTGTTTATAACCCTAAATGTTTTGGACAGCCAACCACATAATCCCCAAAGTGCTTCTCTTTTCAATATTTTTTCAATTCTGTCCATTTCAGAGAATACTTATTCAGATAATGACAGTTTATTTGAACACCTTTCTTGTGACTCTTTCTTTTAAATAGGAGACTTTCATGAGTACTGGTTTGAGAGAGAAGTGAAAGCATCAGAGGTAGAATTGAGGATTTCTTAGACTCATATCTCTGTTTCTCTTGATAACGTATTTAGTGATTTAACTGTATACCATATATATATATATTTCAAATGGTTCCATAGTTCCTTAAGAAACTTAGTAAATGAAATATTTTTATGTTGATAGGATCATTATCATTTTGGCTTGAGGTCTCTGAAGACAATTCTAAAAATGGCTGGAAAGAAGATACTGAAGTTTAAATGGTCAGTTGAGTTTTGAATTCAGTATTAAGCCAAAAGCGGTTATCTAACACTAGGAAAATGATTTTTAAAATTTTAATTAATGATGGCAAGATAAAATAGGAAGATACCAGAATGTCCAAGTAAAATATAGCAAATATGGCAGAGGTTATTAAGAACATAAAAGAAGAGTAAGGAAATAATTCACAAAATCCCTGGGTACCTTTCCCCAATAGATCTATTCCTTAAAAAATGTGATTTAGCTTTACAAGATATACTGGAATTAAAGACCCATGTGGATGAGCAGCAACTTAATAAGAAATGTGAAACCTATAAGAATATATGGATATGAGAAATGTGTAAAGTGCATATGCACAGAATGTTAATATGTCTGAAAGACACACATGGAAATATAAATAAGTGAAATAATAAATCGTGTGCTTACTACAATACCTTAAAAGATTTAACATTTTAATGGTTTAAATACTAAATAGCATTATTTTTTAAATGTTTTTATCGATATGCTAGCTTATCCTAAAGTTCACACAGAAAAATCAGCTATTAGACTAGTATGAAAAATATTGAAAACAAGCACAAAGGAAGAGAAATGTTCCAGTATTAAGACATATTATCAACCTTTAGTAGACATAAAGCTTAATAATGAAATCGTTATGACACTGGCTTATGAGTAGGAAGGCAAACCTTTGGAATAAGATAGAAAGTCCAGAAATAGGATGATATGCATTGGGTATCTAGTTACCATAAATTAGGAAGGCAAGAACAGATTTTTTAATTAATGTGTTGGGAAAACTAAACAAGCAAAGTATTATTAGGTTTAGTAAAATAAGTCATAAGGAGAAGGAAAAATAGATTATTATATCATTTGTGTGGTACATGGAGAAAATGAATGATGAATTAAATTTACAAAATCATAATAGTGGTTGCAAAAAAGAAGTTTAAAATCTGAAATTTCATTGAATCTTAGTTCAGACACTTACAAACTATATGACATTGGGCTTGTCATTTATTTTTCCTGAATATCACTCTCCCTACTTCTGAGGCTATTGAAAAGATTAATGAAAGGCTTAAAGAATTAAGCAAAATTCCTAATTCAAAAGTACTCAGACACATACACACACACAAAATCATGTTGGTCATTAACTATGGTCAGTTACCAAAACAGCGGGGATAGTGAACATCTCTAGTGCCAGCATCAGTAGTATTGGCACATCAGGCACGGCTTTGTGGACCCAGGCTGGAGCAATCATGGCTCCACAGGACCAGTTCTGTGGCCCTTGTTCCCAGCTTCCTAGCCTGAAAGCCTAGGTGTCCGGCCTTCCTAGAGAGTTCAATAAACTTACATTTCATTTGGAACCAGCCCAATCGGTTTCTATTATTTGCAGCTGTAAGGCATTGTGGGTGCAGCGCCCCTTCCCGAATCAGTGGCTGGGGCATGGTATGACCCTGACTGTTCTAGGTCAGTCAGGGCTACACGTAGAGGTGGGGACCAGGTTAACCTTATCCAACCACGTTGCTGCCTTGCAGGGAAGGAGAGTAGAGATGCATGTAGGGATAGCCACCTCTAAAAATGAATGTTAATGATCTTTAATGTTCCACATATTATAGTATATTTGCTAATTTGTTTGTTTTCTTGTCCCATTAAAGTAACATCAGTGACAATCTTTCGGAAACAGAGGAAGCAATGATCATTATTGATGTTCTGAGAGAGGCTATTTTGCCAAAATTTCTTCCTGAAGATGTTCCACTTTTCAAAAAAATTATAGCAGATATCTTTCATGAAAGGACAGTTTCAAAAGTAAATTTAATCACCTTGGAGGTAACGAGGACTTTGAAAACCATCACAAATGATTTAGATGTGGGATGTCAATTAAGAAGCTAAATGTAGATTAAAGATAAGAAAGTTCTTCCTGAAATACTCATCATATATTTAATTTGGGGGATGAGACACTTAGAGATACATTTCCTTCACAGTGCATTACAGCTGACTGGAAAGAGTAAAGCTATGTACCTTTAGGAAAAGGAAGCTATAACATATTTTTTTCCCTGAGTTTATTCAGTTTTCAATGGGGAATAGTCATGTCTACTTCTCCAACTTTAAAATAGTACTTTGAGATCAGAGTTAGGACAAAGACTATAAAACGTAAATAACTTGTTATCATATAAAGCTATAAAACTTCCTCTAAGCACTGCTTTAGTTATAAATTCAGTGTTTTCATACAAGATTACTCTTTTCCAGAATACCATAGCTAGCACTTCCTTTAGTCCTAAGTATACTGTTAAACTGAGTTTTTCATATTTTTAATTTCTTGGTAGGGGGCCTTTCATTTTTTAATTGTTACTAATCTCTAGTTTTGCATTATTATCAAAGGGCATTATCTTTACTCTTAAAAATGTAATTGAGGGGCCCTCTCTGGTGGCACAGTGGGTTAAAGCAAAGCACTAAGGAACTAAAGCCACTTCAGCATGAGTTCGATCCCCGCCCTGGAGGTGACCCACATGGTGTGGCAGACCTCGCCTGACCCGCCCGCTGCTCCATCAGTTGGCCAGTTGTACTCCCCACTCTGTCTCTGGTGAATCCTCTCACGATGCCCCAGTTCTGTGTGCATGAATAAATAAATCATTTTTTAAAAAAATGTAATTTGGCCCTCCCTGGTGGCGCAGTGGGTTAAAGCACTGCACTGAGAAGCTAAAGCCACTTCCGCATGAGTTCGATTCCCGCCTGCCCCAGAGGTGACCACATGGCGCGGCAGACCTCTCCTGACCCACCCGCTGCTCAGCAGTGTACTTCGTTGATCTGCCTGTTCTGCTCCCCACTCTGTCTCTGGTGAAGCCTCTCACCGCCCCTGAGCCTCTGGCCTGTACCTCAGTTCTGTATGTACAAATAAATAAATCTTAAAAAAAAAGTAATTTAGATTTTTATGGCCTGTCTTAAAGTAATATTTATCAATATTTCATATACACATGATAAAATGTTTTGTCAACTACAGATTTAAGGTACAGAGTTCCATTTGTGTCCATTTGATATGACTCTTTCAAGAAAATTAACCTTTGTTTAGTGGAGCATAGTGTGCATATGGTGAGCCACAGTTCAACAAAAGACCCCAAGAGAAATGGAGGGACTGTGAGTCACAGAGCCTAGAAGAAGCACACTCTGCATGCCTTGAGGTGCCACGTGGGGAGGTCAAATCCGGGTGTAGACAGAGAACATGAATACGCCAGATTAGGGACACATGCCTTTATTAGGGCCTGTGGGTGGAGTCCTTTGGGACTCCCCAGCTAAGACTAAATGGGTCAATTCAAACCAAAAAGAGCAAAGTTTTGGTAAGCAGTTGATGTTTGAAAGGTGGTTATTAAATCCCTGGTATTATTGTGTTGTTGTCAGTATCTTTAGTTGTATTAATAATTGCTGTATGTCAATTTTCCATCATTTGATTATTTTCCATCATTTGATGCATATGTAAGTATTGTATCTTCTTTTTGTATTAGGCCCTTCATCCTCATATAATATCCATTTCTATTCTTATTATTTATTTTAATTAGGCATCTGTATAATGTAATAAATGTGTCAGTTGGCCTTCCTAGCCTTTTTGATTGTTATTTGCTTGTAGCTCTGTCTTGAATGCTTTAAAGCTGTGCTTTGTTGGTACGTTGCATTTTCTGTAAAAAGCAGAAGGTGAGCTTTCTTTTGGAAGTGCTGTATGGATTGTTTTTTAAAGGGAAAGTAATAATAGTTCTCATCATTGTCAGGTTGTGGACTAAAAAATTAAGAACAGTCTTGAAGTGCAGTATTTGGAACCTAGTTAAGGAACATTTGTAGGACTGTATGTTGAGTTTAATTTGCAATGCATTTTAGATTAATACATTTATTTTCTTTTAGAAAGTAATAGATATTGCAACCCAACAATTGGGCTTACAACAATGGCCAGCTCAGAAGGAGAAAATCATGCAGTTTTATGATCAACTTCAGGTAAGTAAAGAATGGTGTGTTAACATTTCTTTGCTTTCCTGTGTTTTAATAGACTGACGAAAGAAGCAAAACAATAATAATGAATGACAACTATTATAATTTTCTTTAAATTAAAGGAGTGTATAACTAACTCTTTAGGGTTTCTTACTTGACCCTGGCTTAACTTTCAACAGATTAATCTTACTCACTTACTCCCTCTTAATGCATAATTGTAAGTAAGAGAAGTCCTATAAATGTTGTATAAAATATTCTGCATTTCATTGCTACACCTTTTTTGACTTTTCCTGCTCTCCATGAATGAAACATTTGGGAAACTATCAAACTATGCATTTCTCTGATTAGTAGTAAAATTGCAGGTGCTTTTAAATGTGTACTAGCCATGTGAGTTTCCCATGAATTGCCACATTGTGTAACTTACTCATTTTCAATTGGGTTATTTGTTTTTTTCATAGTAAGTATGTAGAATTTTCATTGTGCACTTTTATACCATATTTCTTATTGTGTATATGCATTGTAAATACATTCTCTGCCTTGGATTTTTAGAAATAGCATGGTGTTCAATTATGCAGGAACCATTGTTAATACAGGAAAACCTATTCACCTTTTTCATGGTTGTGTGTGTTTTTTTTTTTTAAAGATTTATTTATTTATACCGAACTGGGGTACGGGCCAGAGATGCGGAGGGTGAGAGGCTTCACCAGAGACAGAGTGGGGAGTAGAACAGGCAGGTCGACGAAGTACACTGCTGAGGGGAGCAGCGGGCAGGTCAGGAGAGGTCTGCCACGCCATGTGGTCACCTCCAGGGCAGGCGGGGATCGAACTCATGCGGAAGTGGCTTAAGCTTCTTAGTGCTGGGCTTTAACCCGCTGCGCCACCAGGGAGGGCCCTCATGGTTGTGTTTTAATGTTGGAAATTTTTTCTATCCTATCTCAAAGATATTTTTAAATTAAAAAAACCTTTAGATATTTGAATTTTTCCACTTTTGAAAAATCTGAATGTTATATTTCTTTAAAACTTCCAGTAGCTTAATATACCTAATATGCCAAAGTCTAATTTTCATGTAGCATGTCTGGTGCCTCATCGTGATTTTCCATCTTTGCTATTTTTATTATTTTCTTGTATAATCAACTGTTGAGTAATTCAGATAGCTTGATCAGCAGAACCCCAAATTAGAAATCTTCCAGTCTTGTAAAGGTACTACCAGCAAACTTTTCCAGCCTTTGTTCAAGAAGAAGACATTTTATTAAATTCCAACTGTATTCTAGAAAATAAATTAGTCTTGATAGCCATTATCTCTGTCCTCTCAAATTGTTTGCTAAATAAGCATTCTTAAAAAGACAGTTCTAAAGAAAGCGTTTCCTGCCTCTGCTCAGAGGTTCTGTGTAAATGGCAGTGATATTGAAAGAGTTCATCCCAACAACATTTATGCCTTATTTTTAACCTTGGCTCCTGATGAATTTCCACAGTAGTAAGCCCCCTATTGACTACTCTGATTAATCTGACAGGTCCTGGAACCAAATCCATTTGGTTCCATAGGCCCTGGCCATTTTAACATTAACTTAAATACAGCATCAAAAGTATAATGTTTGAATGATAACTTGAAAGAGTTCATAAATATAGTTCATAGTTTTAGACATACTTGTAAGTAAGAGCCTGCAGGTTTCAGTTTTCTGGAACCATCAGTAAACTAGAACAAAACCATAAAAATCCATTTTTTTTTTTTTTTAGAATTATGTTGGTGTGATGTTAGTGGGCCCAACAGGTGGAGGAAAGACAACAGTCAGAAGAATTTTAGAAAAAGCATTAATATACTTACCAGTTGTCGATTTCTTGTCATTTGAACATCTACAAAGTGATTCACAGGTAACTTCTGCAAAATAAAATATTTCTCGATTCCATATTTATTATTAATTTCCCACCAATTCCTACCGTTATGTCTCTCTGGTCTATTTTATGTCTCTACCCATAATCGCTCATCTTCAGCTTCTGAGGGGCTGTAATCTTTTTGCTGCACAAGAAGTGCTGCCATTTTTCCTGCCAGAAATCTGAGACAGACCTGACCAGACAGCAGTTCTTCAGCCAGCACAAAGCTTGTTAAAATGTTGCAAATAAAAACTATCCCTTACATTTATCTTCAATTCTCCTTCCAGATCACTACATCTCAGGTCATATGTGTGTTCTTGGGTGAGGCACATGGATTCCCCCCATTTTTAAAAACAACAGCATTTACAATATTTAACAGTTTTAAGAAATAATCATTTGACTGTTACGGCTAATTTTACTCAATAAGTTCATTTTTTCTGTTCCTTTCAAATTGCTACCCTTATTAGAATCTTTCTTTGTGGTAAAAGATCACTCCTAAAAGTCCTTTGGTAATAACAATGCACAAAAAAAATCAAGTAGTTGTACTATCGAAACTACAATGGATTTTTCTCAGGTTACAGGAAGAAAAGGAAAAGTAGATGTTTGTGTTTTAAATCCAAAGTGTATCAGTCTTAATGAATTATATGGATACTTGGAGTCTAATACTATGCAATGGACTGATGGATTATTGTCAGCAACAGTTCGAAATTATGTGCATTCGAACACTGAAAAATTCTCAAAGAAACACTTTCTCCTAGGGCTACACAAATCTAATGTAAGTTTAGGGTGGAATGAGTATTTTTATTTGATTATTGGGGATTGTCTTATTGTTTATCTAAATATTGTTATTAGAGAATTATTACTTATCCACATAAAAATAAATTTAAAATAGGGTCAATTTGAAAAAAAAAAGAAAAATGACAAGGTATAAAAAAGCCAGAAAATATATCATTTTTAAAAAATGGTCCATAAATGATAGAATGAAGCTAAGGAATAGTTGCGTAGAGGCATACAGAGTGGATTATCTGTAAGTGGAGGATGACCTAGTGATTCTGGCATCACCAGTTTACCTTACAAATAATGGGGTATGAAACACTTCAATAATAGTGGACGAAATGTTTGACATTAAATTTATCAACTAATAAATATGAATAGAAAAAATTCACTTGGAAATTTGTGTTTATGGTTAGTAATGAGTAGAGATTACTAGTACATTTCATTAACTAAAGTATACTAACAGAAAGATGATATTTTGAACCAAACATACTAGAAAAGTTTTTCTAATGATATTCCTTAATCACAAGGCTGTGAAATAGAAGTTCATGTATATCTTGGAAAAACTTAAGGGCTGCATATTGAAATTATAATGATATTTCTTTTAACTTAAATATCTACTCTAATAACTTATTCTAAGGAAAAAAAATTTGATTAGGTTGTGGCTACTTTTGATATTGACTTGAGAATGTTTTCTGTATTAAACAGTAATTATTTTTAAACATTGCCATACTTATTTTCTGCAGTCCATGAAAATAATCTTATTAATACATTCTTTTGTATATTCTAGTTTTTCAGTTACAGCTTTCCCTATTCTCAGATTATTCTGGTAATATCATAGGTTACTTAACTGTAAACAAAATAAACACCTTTAAATTTTAGATTTCTGTAATTTATTTTGGTATAAATGAATTTTTTCTCAGATGGAATATTGTTCTGACACAATGGAAAATTAATCACTTTTCCACCATAAAATGATTACAAATGCAATATTTATGTAGGCATTTCTACACTCTTTTTTCTGCCTCCCTATTTAAATAACAAAATAATACAATTTTAATTACTATAGCTTTATAATATATTTTAATATCCAGAAGAGCTAGTTTCTTTTCACTAGTGTTCTCTTTTAGAATTTTGTTTGTAGCTATTTTGTCATTTCTTCTTTGAAGTAAAGAAAAAAAAACATTTTAAAGTTCTCAAATAACAGGATATTTATGTTGCTGACATTATGTTCACTAATTTTATTTCTCAGGTCATTCGCTTTTCTGAATTTTGTTGTATGTCAGTTTTTCTCTTTTCTGAGTGAAGTTAGGGCTACTTGCCTTTAGAGAATACTTGCCTTAACTTCATTCTCCCTGTATCACTGTGACTTGCTTTTCTGCATTTTTCTCTCTCCCTTTAACTTTATTATGGCAAGTTTGAACTCTCTCTGATAGGAAAACAAAAATAGTCACTTTCTTTAGTGTTGGACTTACAAATTTATTTCCTCCTTTTATTTCACATTGTCTTGTGGCCTTAGGGAATCATGTTTCTTTCTTTTTCTTCTTCTTCTTTTTTTTTTGTCTGCCCATTTTGCTGCTTTAGATTTCTCTATTTCTTCAAGGCATCTAAGGCGGTCACTTAGAGATTTGAAGTACTACTACTTTCCCATGGGCTGGCAATGTAGTTTCATGTGATTTTAGTTTTCTTTCATGTGATTTTAATTTTTTTTTGCTTGGAGATGTGATCTTGTAGCTGCTGAGTCAGAGGTTAGGGAGGGGTTTGAAAGGCCTCTCTGCTGGGCTAAACGCACTGGAGAGGGGAGCTAACTTTTGTTCCTGGCGCCCTTGAAATCCCTCCTCTCTGGGGTTCCCGACTTCAGGCCTGTGTCTTTATTCTATCAGTGCCCTTCACAGGTCAGTACAGGCCGGGAGGGGCCCCACACACCGTCCGTGTTCTTTTCACAGGGCCCAGCTATGAGAAGCGCGCCAGTTTCTCCAGAGGTGGTTCCCCTCACGAGGTGCCTGCCACCACCACGTTTTGTGCCCCCGCCCCCGCCAGGGTCAGTGACTGAGCAGCAGGTCCGCAGTTCTCACCACAGCTCGGTCCCCAGACCCGGCTCTCCAGGAGCGGCCTCCTGCTTGGCCGTCTGTGTAGTCTGTGCTGGTCTCTGGTGTCCAAGAGGCGCTTCTGTTTTGTCCCAAACCACGGGACTCTCTCTGTTTGCTTCACTTCTGGGTGCTACTGGGCAGAATGAAGCAGGGAACCTTCTCTGGCAGCATCTTGGGCAGTGCTTATCTTCTTGTGCTTTGTTACATTATTAAAGCATCATTCAATAATCATGCACTCTAGAAGAAACAGCAAACGAAAATGTATTTTCTAAAAGGAAATAACCTGAAGTTACAACTCTGATATAGTATTCTGTGCTGGCTGTGTTGATATTTCAGCTATAGAATAATCTGCCTTTCATACTTACTTCATTCAAGAAAAGTATATTGAAATATAGTCCATTTGAGTTGTAAGGGAAAATCAAATAAAAAATGTAACATAATTGATTGCATGTTTTAGGTTTTCAAACTTCAATCGGTGGAAACAGCAAATAGTCTTGATACTGTTTTTGAGAAGATAGAGAAAGGTGTTAAAATTCCAGAAAGTAAGAGTAAGTATTAAAATTAAATTTGGTAAAGGTGAAGATAAAATGAACCAATGAGAGCTTTACTTATGTCTTTAAGAACATTTTATCAATTAGTAATATTTTGCTCTTGTACTATTTGTATTTTTCTCACGTGTTTATTTTAAATTTGTTCAGTATTACCACACATTATACTACTTATACATACAAATGTGTGTATGTGTGTGTGTAACATATGTAGCTATGTTATATAAATGCTTGGACTTACATAGATCTTTCAGAAAATAAAGGACCATTTTGTCTCCCAAGAGCCAACGATCTGTTGAAGGCAGCATCTTAAAGGCTGGTGTGAGTGGCAGCAGTAGCGACTACAATAGTCTATTCTTGGAAGCAGGGCTCCAGACAGCCTGGACAATCCCAGGCCGAGTCACACGCCCAGGCAGATTCATCTAGAAGGAAGGGCGTCCTCTGCGCGGTGGCGCGGAGCAGAGCGTGTGCGCGGCTGTGCTCCCGAGCAGGAGCTGGGTTGCCCAGTGGCCAGGACATGTATTTCAGCCATCAGCACGCGTCCTGGCAGGGTGGCTGCGCTGTGCCCTGTTCTCCTGTTCTGCCCGGGTGCTTCATCATCAGGGATGCTGCTTTTTTTTTTTTTTCCTTATTATTATTTATTTATTTTTAGTTTTAAACCATTCTTCATACTGTGTATTTTTTTTTTTCCTCCTCAGTTGTAATCCCCATTCACCTGTGTCCCATCTTTATCATCACACAGGGGCTTACCTTTTATCTCTGTCCGTCGTAAACATTCAGGCCCTGCCTCCTGATCAATAATTTCTAAAACAAATGGAGCACGGTGGGGGGGTGGTATAAATGTGGAAAGAGATGTAAGTGGGGTCCCGACGTGAAATACCCTTCTTTTTATTTCCTTATTTTATTTTATTTTATTTTATTTTCCTCCGTTTATTTCCTTCTTTTCCATTGGGCTCTTATTTCTGTTTGCTGTTTCCTAGAAATAGTTATCTTAAATATGTTTCTGGATGGCAGAGAGAAATTCACCAACTATATCATTATGCAAATGATACATTTATAGATCAGTTTCTTATCCAAAATTTTAAGCAACCTAAGACTATCAAAGCAATGCCTAATGTATTACTAAGTATGAGGTATACATGTTTGTTCATTTTAATAGATACTAAAGACTACATATAAACACATCCACCCTAGTGTTTTCTAGGTTATCATTTTTCATTTAAAGAAGATACTGATGGATATTTTCTAAAGAAAATAGAAAATGTGCAAGAATGTAATGAAAGAACACTGAGATCATTCTGTTACATTAAAAATACTTTTCTCTCTAGATTTCGATTGGCAGTGGATTGTCTTAGATGGCCCGGTGGATGCCTCTTGGGTAGAAAATATCAACTCTATGCTAGGTGAAACTAGAATGTTGTGCCTAGCTAACAGTGAGAGAATAGCGTTAACTGAAAAAATGAGAGTGATATTTGAAGCGGATACTCTCTCCCAGGCTAGTCCTGCTATTGTTAGTCGGTGTGCAATAGTCTACATGGTGAGTTTTCAAAAACAAATTTCTTAACAAAGAAAATACATTGTCTAGGATAATGATCAGTTATTATTTTACAGAAATTTTTGTGCTTTTTTTTTTTTATCTGTATCCAGCATGTTGATCCCTTAAAGCCTCTTAACCCAGAAATGAATATGGACATAATTAACGTAATACTGTTATTAATACTGTTATTAAGACTACAAAGTAAATGGAGTGTTATTAGTTATTTACACACCTATAAGTCATACTTTCAGTGGTGGAGTTTGGCTTCTAGTGTAAGTTCTTTACCCAAAAGAGGACAGATTATCCTTTTTACACTCTCTCCATACTCTCAGGACTCATGAAACACTATCAAAAGAGTGGTGAGGAGGTTTGAAGACATAAATAATACATGTTTACTATAAATAAAATGAATTGTTAGACTAGATCAGCTCTATGTTCTAATCTCCTTAATGTAATACAATAAATATAGCTAAGCACAGTGCTGACCATCTGGGAAGCAGTTTTTCTGAATGCACACATAGTTCTCTTCCTTAGCTGGCACCTAGTTGCTTGATTTTAAAGACTATGATTAAAAATCACCAATAACTTAAGGAGAAAGGTAACACTTTTTGATAAACTTGCCCTCTACTGAATGATAATTCTAAATCATGATTGCCAGGGGACAATTGTGAAGTGGGGAGATAGTAAGAAAAGTAGGAGGATACTGTATTTTTTATTGATTTACATAAAATGATCTGATACTTTTGTTGTTAGGACCCTGTTGATCTGGGATGGGAGCCTTATATTAAGTCATGGCTTGTGAAGACTTCTAAAGTTATGAGCCAGTCAGGAGTGGATTATCTTGAGTTCATAATGAAAAATAGCATCACAAGTGGACTACAGTTTATAAAGAAAAACAGGACATTTCAGCCATTTCCTGTACAGGACATAACTATCGTTATAAGCCTCTGCAGAATTCTTGATGCTTTCTTTGAATTTATTTGTAAAAATGGAGGCTTTGGACAAAGTGAGTTTTCATTCTCTAAACCATATTAAAGATGCAATAGCTGAGCTTGTAAGTGCCAACTATTTATCATGCCTTATTAGATTTTATAAAAGAAAATAAAGTCAGGAATTTTTAGTTTACAACAGCAGACATAACATGGTACAACTAAAACTCAGTTACAGAGGAGCATATTAATAAAGTAAAATGATACAAATTAAGTGTTGGAGAATAATAAGAAAATGAGTTTAAAGAATTTTTAGAGTCCATATTAGGGAAGAATGCTGTTTTAAATGTTACTGTTTTAAAGATTCTCAGAGATAGAAATAGTGGGAAACATCTATCCAGAATCCTAGGGGTGAGCTGTAATCATGCAAAAGTATGAACATAGAAATAGTAAAATGTAAGAAAGAAAAGTCCAAATGATTAAAACCAGTATACAGGTTTTCCTCACTATGCGAAAGTAGAACATTCCTATCTGCTACAATTTGGTAGGTTTTTTTATAGAACTGGATAGATTCAAAATCTTTTCTGTATAGCTTAATTGTAGAGCCTACCCCGTGTTAGCCAAACAGTGTGAAATAAGCAAACCAATAATCGTAGTTAGATATCTTAGCAACCCTTCTCAGAAGGCCTCTTGAATTGCATACAAAAAAATTTGTACTTCTTGTAGGTGGAGGGCAGTGAAAGATCAGGACCAGGATTTAATAAACCAAGTAGTGAGTTAATTATTATAATATTGTTGGTCAAAGAACCTTCTACATAAAACTTAGTATAAATCATCAAATGAACAATGCCATTTTCTATAGCATTTAAATAAGTCTAGGATCCTAAAAGAAATATTTAGAGTCTACAGTCTTTAGAATGTTTAAAACAAAACTTCCAATATTGTGGGAAATCACTTTACCCATCTCGTAAATAAAATTGTCAAGAATGCAGTTTTTCATAAGAAAAAGATAATGGGAATAAGTATAACAACTTATATACTTATATGTATGTATTTACTAGTCTCATCTTTAGATAAGAAGATAATAATGGCTGACTGAGTGCCTTGTCTTCTCAAGGAAGATGTGTCTACAGTGTTTATTTTTTAAAGATTTCTCATAAGTTATTTATTTAAGCTTTTTTGCTTTGGGTTTTATATGTAATGTATAACCAAGGTTGAGTGAGATAATTTTTCCTCCAAGACTATGTCTTAGCCATAATGAAGTCTGTAATCTGGAGAGGTAGATAATAAAGACATATAGGAAAAAATATATATTTCAAAGCTTACAGGTAATTCAGAAGGAAGTTTATAACTTGAAATTCTATAATAAAAAAGACTGAAAATAAGCTGATCAGTGGAAGAAGCTAGGAAAAAGTTAGAGTAAATATCCATTTATTATTTAGTTTGTAATAGGCACCATATTTGGTGGTGTCATTTAAATGTTCTGAAATTTGTATTTTGGATCAAACTTACAAAAATATGTCAGAACAGAATGAAGGCACAAAAATTTGCAGATTTATACTTAATAAATAAGGATTGATTTAGACAATCAAGAGCATTTTCTGCTCTTCTTTTGCTTAGGAAGTTATGTCCAATATGGTCTAGTTATCTCTGGATACCAGAAGTTCTATGACAGTTCACAAATGAACAATGTTACAAGCTTAATTAAGCTCACTTAATTAACTAACCTGCTAAATCTTAGGTCTGTTGTTAATTCTAGAAAATTTTTCTTTTCCTTTTAAGGTGAAGATTTGAAAAGCATTTCGATTGAAGGGACAAATTCTCCATCTTCAGAAGCGTCTATCAAATTTGAAGATACCGAAAAGAGGTCAGCTACATTCTTTCAAAACATTTTAGTCCCCAAAAGATACCAAATATTCATATACAGGGTTGCCTGTGACAGCTTGATTACCTGTCAATAAGCCAATAACTCAGTGACTTCCTAATCTCAAAACCCATTTGAATTAATTATATCCCAACCGAGAGTCCTTTTATTGAATAATTGAGCACCAAATTTTGATGCTGAGTTCTATGAACAATATGAATGCATTTGTCCAAATTATACAAATTTTAGAAAAGAATAGAAATGATAGGAGTTTATTTCATGAATGTGTTATTTATCAGTAGAGAAATTTAGAACCCATTACTCAATATTTTTGCGATTTGCTTTTCTCAATTATACACCTGGAATAGTCATGTGATGTGCTAGGTCTCTAGAATAATACCTAGTATTTAGTATGTGCTCAATAAATTGTAATGATAGAAACCAGAGTGCTAGATTACTTCCATTTTTGCAGGGCAGGAGAGTCACTGTGGGTCTTACATGCTGCATGTTTACACTCAGAATTATTTATACAGTGTCACAAAGGCAAATGGCTTCCCTGTATATCTTGAAACCTTCACCCTTTCACTCTTTCATATATATTTCTACCCCAGGACTGAAAATGCAGGAAATCTGGAGGAAAATCCTGATAAATTAAAAGCAATGATTCAAAAGCTTTATGTGTTTGCATTTACGTGGGCATTTGGAGGAACTTTAAAACGTGAAGATGAACATGAAGATGATATACTTTTGTATTCTGGTTTTGAATATGCTTCTCTTGCAAAAGTAACCAGTGATTTTGACAAACTCGTTCATGAATTATTTGAATACAATCCGCAGATAAGTAAGTTTTGGAGGGAGGGAGATACCCAATTATGCTTATTTTAGAATATTACCTTGAAGCTCTTTAATCATTGGGCTTATATTCATTAAACCTATTTTACAGATATACACTTGGTGAATATCACTTCAACCATAGCTTCCAGATAAATATCATATCCTAGTGAAACATTCCATAAATGTACATCTTTCTTACTTGGATTTATTGATTTATATTTTCCGTATGTAGACATCAACCTACCAACTGGTGAATGTTCTGTCTTTGGATATTTTGTGGATATACAGCAATGTGAATTCATACCATGGTCAGAATTACTTCCTAATATTCAAACAACAATTCAAAGAGGTAATGATTACAACATTCCTACTCATGTCTACATTTATACATAGGTAGTTATGTCAGCAACTTTGAGGACTAATGTATTCAAAGCTTTTGTAGAAATCTGTTTAGATACTATACTTACAAAACATGTCCCTTTAAAAATAACCTTTGAATATTATTTTCTGAGAAAGTTGGAACATTATTTGATTCAGGCTCTTATACATTGTAAAGCTATACTTCACTAAAAGTATTACTAGTGGAAATATTGATCATTTTAATCAGCAAACATTTTTGAAAGTAGAAAAGAGAAAAAACCACTTCTAAAGTGGCAAAGCATACACAAACTATATTTGGTTGTGAAGGAAATTGCTAATTAGGAAGTATAAACATAACTTACCAAATATATGTATACATTATTGTTTAATCTTCTCTTTCTACAAGAGAAAAAAGTATATAAACAATTGTACTTTGAAGTTGGAGACAGAAACTTAATCACTGAATTTCATGTAGTGTTCTTGTAAATATGAGAAATTCAATAAATGCAAACTGAACTGAATTAACTTTGAGGACAGGATTTCCTCATCAAAGAATTTCAAAATTTGGTTGTAAGATTTTCTCTCAGAAAGCAACCAGCTATATCAAAATCATGAGACATACAGAAAGGTCTAAGAGAATTAATTTCAGTTGGAAATACCAGGCTCTGTTGAACAATATTTGTCGTATGTAGCTGTATTTAAAATATTTCTGAAATGTATCTATGTAGTGCTAAAAGCTAAGTATAAAATAACTCAGTGTTGGCACTAACATAAATGTGCCTGTGGAAACCAGAGGTCTTTTCTCCAATCTAAGACATTACTTCCTTTTGTCTAAACTAACCCTAACAGCTGATGAAATACTTAGAAGAAATTAACTCCCCCCACCCCCAGCTTTCAAACTCTTATCTTTAACAATAATCTAAATGTCACATCCTTCACATGCTTCAAAAATCACCTCTTATGACTAAGATTTTTTTTTTACCTAAAAACACTTTTTATTTCCAAAGAGTATTTCTAATCTAGTCTGTCATCAGGGGATATTTTTAAAAACTCAGTATGTTTAAATGTTCAACAAATTTTCCATGTGTATTAATATAGCAATATTCTAATGTGTAGGCCATATTCACTGTGTAGGGATATAGGGAAACATATTTCTTTTTTTAGTAACAAAATGGGAAAATAGGACTTTGATGAATTAAATGTAAAATGATGGAGAAATCAATTAATAATAATATAAATTAGCAGTATTGTATTAAGTTGACCTTCACTTATCTTTTCATATACCTTTCTTGTGGATACTTGTGTGGCACAGACTACTTGTGAGTCAATTCTCATTATTTCCTGACTCTTGATCCATAGAAGAGTCATTGGTACTTGGTCATCAGCTAAACCTCCTTTATACCCAGATATGGCCACGTGACCCAGTTCAACACAATGGCATGTGAACAGAGTGAACTTGCAGCTTCTTTAAGATTATACATCTGAGGCCCTCCCTGGTGGCTCAGTGGGTTAAAGCACTGCACTAAGAAGCTGAAACCACTTCCGCATGAGTTCGATTCCCGCCTGCTCCGGAGGTGACCACATGGTGTGGCAGACCTCTCCTGACCCGCCCGCTGCTCCCCTCAGCAGTGTACTTCCTTAATCTGCCTGTTCTGCTCCCCACTCTGTCTCTGGTGGATCCTCTCACCACCCCTGAGTCTCTGGCCTGTACCCCAGTTCTGTATGCACAAATAAATAAATCTTTAAAAAAAATTATACAACTGAAAGGAATGCATAATGATATATGCTTCTTGTATATCTTGCATATTAACACCTAGGAGTTTTGTAATGTGTAACTATTCTCTCCCATCAGTGGGGTGCATTTTCTTTCATTGTATAAAAGCTTTTTAATTCGAGGTACCCCTGTTGTTTATGTTTGCTTTTATTTATCTTGGTATCAAGGCCAAATTTCTGAAAACACCTTTATCATTAAAATCATGAAACACATTGCTAGTATTTTCTTCTATTGCAGATTTTTTTCTTGCAGATATTATATGTGAGTCTTTAACCATTTAGAATTAATTTTTATGCAGATGGAGCTAGAGGGACTCAGCTTCGCTCCTTAACATGTGGCTATCCAGTCTAACAAGACTATTGTTTAAGAGACACTCCTTTGTCAGTTGTATGGTTGGGACACATTTGTCATGAATTAAATATAAGTATATATGTGAATTTATTTTTGGTTTTGGGTTTTTGATTCTGTTCCTTGGGTCAGTTCAAAGCTTAACAGCTTTTTATAGGATAAAGTAAGGTGATGTGTCTCCATTTCTCTGAGGATTGCTTCCCATCAAGCATTTTTATTGAAGAATATTATTGGTATGTTATGGGTAATACATTAAGAAATTGAAACATTTTTAAATTTTAATTTAGGAACTTTAATACTAGCTGATCCTCAAGGATACAGTGAAAATCTCTTGAAGATAGCAGAGTATGGAGAGAACATGAACTTTACTGCTACCAGAGAAACAACATGTCTTTCTTTTCTCATAAACCTTCTTTTAAAGAATTCCTGTCCTGTACTTCTCACAGGTATTGAAAATATCTAAGGAGGGAGAATTTCAGAGTTAAGTGGCTTATTAATCAATCAGCCTAACCAATTTATTTGTACTTTATAAGGGGGGAAAATATGCTCTAAATTTTGTGACAAAATTGATGTATATATATATATTTTTATCATTGGTGACAACCCAGGACATTATAAATCTTCTTCATCTTTTCACTAATATCAAGACAAATCCAGAAACAGAATTTTATATATATATACATATATATGCATATATATATAAAATTATATATATATATGTGTGTGTATGTGTGTATGTATATATATATATGTATATATACACACATATGGCTGCATGGCTTACTGGCTAAGGTCCTTATGGCAATAATGTTGACTGGCTTAATTGAATTTACACACAGTACTGCATCAAAGAAAGGATAAAATGAAATTACCTCATTTTCTAAAAATAACATACACAATTTCTCAACCCTATGATAAAACTTTTCAATCCTTTCCCATTATCAACAGAGTAGTTCAGTGCAGTTCCTGCTCTTCCTTCAACATTTATTTCAACCCGTTCAGTGGATTCTCTTTACCAGTTCTCTGTTGTGTTGCCTCTGGAGACAATATGATAATATTTTTGCCAGTTCCATATTCAAATTATTCAAGCAAAATGAAGTTAGAATTCTTAGATGACCCATGGATCCCTTCAGGGTACTTCTAACTTTTACTTTCTTTTCGGTGAGTTGGAAAGCTCCAACTCCCTGTTAAGTTACAGTAAGGAAATGATCATCAAGTTTGTGTTGTCAAAAATTTTAGGGAAATTAATTTCATGTGGTAAAATAGTTTTGCTGTGTTGTAAGCAAAATGATTTGTGATAGGCTTAAATGAACATTAGATTTTAAGAGAGAGAAATAATAATCAAATAATTTGTGTGGTTTTCATATGAAGTTCCTGGTTTACTCTTAACTACATTATTTTTTAGGGAAGAGTAAAAAGATAAATTTAATACAATTTTCAAATAAAAGAAAATACTAAAGCTTAATTTTAATATATTAGCATTGTTCATTTTCTTGAATGTAAATCTGACTTAATGTATTTTTTTCTCTTAGGAGATTATGGCGTTGGGAAAACCACTACCATTAACCAAATGCTTGAAAAACTAGAGGATTTTGGAACATTTGATGTGAAATATGGATCAACTTTAGGAGAAGTCCTTTTACATAGTGAAACTAAAAATACAAGGTTGTATATATTAAACTCTAATTTTAATTTGCCTGATAAACAGAATGTTTGCTTTAGTTTGTAAGTGTCCCATATTTTAAAAAAGAAACCTGTTAAATAAAAATGCAGTTACTAAGGTATTAAGAAGATAATCTTTACTTTTCTAAAATATTAATAACTAGATTAATAATTACTTAAAATGAGAACTTCTTGCATTTACTTTCAATATGACTAAGTTTTTAAAAATTCAATTTTTTTACATGAAAAGTACAGCTATAAATTATTTTCCCTCATGGGAAAAGTACTTAAATGTACTACATATAATTGGTTTTGTTGTACTAGAGAGATAATTCTTTCTTATCAAATATAAAAATATTCTTTACAAAGAACTCTCTGTCATTCCCGAAGGGAAACAAAATCTAAATTGAAAAATAAGTTGAAAAAGTAAATTCTATCCCTTTAAAATATTAGCCCATCCTACTGTTTTTGAATTGCATAAGAAGATGGAATTGTGGGAGCCCCATGCTAAACCTTCCTTGTAATTATTAGGCTCATGTTAACTGCTGATGCGACATATGTATTTGGATAGCTCTTGTGCCTCTTAACATTGATATAGCCACAACATGAGTTCTGCTTTCTCTTCCAAACTTGTTCTTCCTCTGGTGTTTCTCATTGCAATAAGTGAAACCCAATTTTTCAAGCCTGAAACCTGGGAATCATCCATGAGCCTCTCCCTTTCTTCTCACCAACCCATCTTCCATAAATGGACACTCTGCGTGAACACTTTCCCTCTAACCAACATCAAATTTGCTACTACTTAAGTATGTCTGTCTTCACAATACATCTTGAAACAATCTGCTTTATTCTCAATACCACTTTTGTTCAAGTCACATTAAAATAAAGGTGAATAGGCCCTCCCTGGTGGTGCAGCGGGTTAAAGCACAGCACTAAGAAGCTAAAGCCACTTCAGCATGAGTTTGATCCCCGCCCCGGAGGTGA